CAGCCAGCACCTGCATGCCCCCCCACCAGTCACAGGTGCATCCATTCCCGACAATTCAGGAGGGTGGCCCTGGGAAAGCCTCTTCTATGAAAAGGAGAGGTGCGTATAGAAAAAGGTCCTATTCAGTTCGGTCTTCCTTCCCCTCCTGTTGGATGAGGATCCTGTGTCTGGTGCCCGGACGGTTGTTTTACAACTCTGAGGGGACAGACCAGAACAAAAGCCAACGTGGTGGGGACAGCGAGTGCCAGATAGAAAGTCTCGGTTCCCAAAGCCACAGCTGAGCTGCTGAACTAACCCAGGGACTGTTTATCTCTGGACTCAAGTATCCTTCCAGCTGAAGTTACTGAGTGACAAGTTATTACTTTCAGAATCAACCCAACTACAAGAGATAGGGCCTGGTGACTGGACGCTGAGGGTGTGTAATAAAGAAGAATCAATAGTTTTACTCCCAGCGTTCTGGCTTGGGAAACGAAGCAGAAAGTTATCACGACAACACTATGACATAAGAGTAGTGGTGGTGGTGGTGGGGAATATGGGGGGGGGGTGTGTGAGGTGGAGTAAATGGGGAGGTCGGGGCCGGGGAGACAAGGGAAGTGGAAGAAGTCTGTTTTCTGGACGTGCTGATTCAGAGATATTATGGAACCATTTGGGTGAAGCGTCTATTTAGAGGAGTCTGGAACTCATTTAAAAATAAATCTGAGTAGGGGCGCCTGGGTGGCTTAGGTGGTTAAGCATCTGCTTTCAGCTCAGGTCATGATCTCGGGGTCCTGGGATCGATCCCTGCGGCGGGTTCCCTGCTCGGTGGAGAGTCTGCTTCTCCTTCTGCCTCTGCCTACTGCTCCACCTGCTTGTGTGTGAGCACACGTGCTCTCCCTCAAATAAATCAATAAAATCTTTTTTTTTTTTTAAAGTCTGAAGTAGATGTAGATGTGTGTGGGAAATCAGGTCCTCTCACACACTCCTAGAGAAGTCAGATGGAGGCGGGATGGTTAAAAGAAGTACGGACACAAACTTCCTTATATGAAGAGTCATAGAAAGTGTTTTTTCTTTTCTTCCTATTAAGGCTCTGAAGATGTACAGATACTATCTGAAAATAGGAAGAAAGCTGTTTATTGAATGAATCTGTAAATATTATCATGCTACTGCATATTTTTATTTTCTAAAAATCCATTGCTAGCCAAGATAATCTGAAAAATTGCAAAATCTGGGTCTATGGTAAATGAAGCCCTTGTGCCAGAGCGCCTATACCAGACTCCTAGCAACTGCAGCGAAGCCGAGTCACCTGCTTTCCTAGCCCCACCAGTAAACCAGGAATATGTGAATAATCTCATTCCAAGACCCAGAAAATAACCCAGGACATGTTTTATTGGAGGTAGATTACCCCAAAGTACAAAGAGGAACATAATCACTGAGAAAGCAGCAAGCAATAATTTAGCAGTACTTTGTAAGATTAAGTAGCCTTTTAAGGATTATCCCATCCCCCCATGAGAAGAAGTTAATACAGGTGACCCTGATACGATTTCTCTTTCATGTGTGGCAGTTATGGAAGAACAGAAACCATCAGTGATTCCCAATCTAGGGAACAGGAAAAACATAGAGCTGGAGTAGGTGATAGTCTCCCAGACAGAGATACAAGGATACATGACAAGGGGTCCCTATAAATAGTGATTAATAAATGCAAATCAAAGGTTGACTTTGATGTTTGCAAAGTCTGGACTGGACAGACAGCTAGATAGGGTCTGTACAGACAACAGCGATCCCCATCAAAGGCATCAATGATGCATGGGCAGGAGCATCAGAGAAAGAAAGAATCTGCCCTTGACATCAGGTAAAACTGTTTTAAAACCAATACAACCTGAGAAAACGGAGTATAAAAGATGCAAACTTGTACCTCAACACATGGGTCTTAATTTAAAAACGTAACTCTGATCACCCTGCTATCATGAAAACCTGAGCTGGTCCCTCTGGTTCAGAGACCTGCCCCCCATCAGCCCATGTCCCAGCCCCAAACTAATGAAGTTCTAATCAAACTTTCCGTCTGTCTCTTTTGTGCATCCCATACACTAGTTATGGACCAGATGGTGTTTCCCAGTCCCACCTCTGCTCTCCCCCTGCCCCTGCCACACTGTTCATGCAGACTGTTCTCTGCCTGTAGTGGGCCCTGAACCTCTCAGCAATCCCTGTTCCTACAACCACATGTGGTCTCCCCCTTTAAGTCCAGTTCTGAGATTCCATTATCCAAATAATGCTACTTTGTTTCAAATTGTTACTATGGTTGTAACCTCCCCTAGGATATTCCAAATTCCTCAAAGAAGAAAGAATAATTCATTCATTTTTGTGACATCTACAAGGTCATAATGAAATAATTGGAGGTTGCAGGATTAGTGACATAGAACAGCCACAGCCTGAAAGCCCTCAAAAGAACATGCAAGGGCAAGTTTATTAGAAGTCTAATAATTCAACTATTTACCATCCCAATAAGACATTCATAAGCTCCTTCTCCTCCTTTTGCTAGCAAAAAGCCATATATAAGAAATAAATACAGGAATTATTCAGTAGAGGGGATAATCAGACTGCAGTCTAGAAATTCTAGATCCTATTTTTAGTTATCTGGGCAGGTTTAATTTACCCTTTTCTCTACCTGCCTCCTCTGTAAGTACCTACTTTACAAAAGTGGTGTAAGGAATGAGATCTTTATTAACAAGTTAATGTTTTTAACATCTTTCAGGACACTCCTCCCTTTGAAATACACTGCTTTAAATATCAGCTCTAGCCTTTCCTACAGTTACACAATTAGCAATGATTGTTGTGATTCATTGAGTACCTAAAGTGTAAGGAAGCTCATTATATGCCAAAGAATGCATTTGCAGTTTTATTATAAAAGCAAAACTTCTCCCTACCTCTACTCTCAGATTCTTTTTAGTCTCTGACCCTCTGGCCATTGCATAACCCTAACTCATAAAAGACCTTAATGATCCTGAAGAAAAGGCATACTGTGCTCTCAAAAGCAGAATATATTCTGTGAGATGTTTTGTAATAGTCTTCATGAATAAACAAGAAACCCCAAATGCAGATCACTAAGGTGGGTGGGTGGCAATGAAACCGTAAAAGGGCAATAAAACGTCTTGAACAATAAAGGTATCCAGTACCATAAAAAGTTGAAATCCAGAGAATGATTCCTAACCTAGTGACACAGGCCAAAGACCTTACCAAGTGCCCTGCTTTTTTCTAGGCTGTCCAGTTGTACTCTTCTCTAATTTTTTTCTGCCATGTTTCACTGTTTTTCCAGTATGCTAATCCATCTCCTTCTACCTCCAGCCCCCTACACTAACTGAGACCTCCTTTCAAGTCCCCCGGGGCAGTCTCTATCCCATCCTGACACAGTTCCCAGATTAGGGCCCGGGAGTTTCTTCCGGCCCAAGAGGTCACGCTGTAAATCTAGAAATGTATACACAACGCAAAGGGAATACGTTCAGATCTGTGAGTGAGAACCAGGACTCCTGACATGTAGCATTTCGGCTCTTCGGCATCTTTAAGCCCAACAAAAACGAGGAGGACTTCTTCGTCTGCCAACCCGCTTACAGGAGACTTCGCACATGGAAGGCAGAGGCAAAGACGCATCAACCGAAAGCGAACGAACCCAAGAAGCACGCATCCTCGCCGCAACCAGGCTCCTCCAGGCTCCTCCACCGGGGACCTTCAACGGCAGCTAAAGGCAAACCGACCCCCGGGCCGGGTTCCGAGGGCTTGCTGTGCTCCAAAGTTAGACGACCTCGTCATGAACAAGTTCTCCCCTTCCCTCTCCTGCGGTCACGTCGGGCACCTGTTGCATCCCCTGCAAAGGGTGCTCGAGGCCGGCAGGGGAGCCCCACCGGCGCAGCCACGGAACTCAACCCGGCTAGCTCAGCGGCAGCCTCGCTCACGTCAATGCGGTGGCCTCGAAGGCAAGGGGCTGTCGGCTTCCGTCCTCCTTGGACGCGGTCCTGACACGGCCCCGACAGCCGCGGCTTTCGGGGCTGGGGAGTTTCTGACGACTCGGGCGGGAAGAGGCGCGCGGCGGGGAGGACCGGCGGCCCGGGGGCGGGAGCCGGCGGGCGGCCCCGCGACGGACGCTGCGCCCCAGGACGCCCCCGCCCGGCCGCCGAGGCGTCGGGCCCGGCCGCGGCTCCGGGCGGCGCAGGGGGCCCCGCCGCGCCTGCAGCCGCTGCGAGCCCCGGCCCGAGCCCGCGGGCGCCCCGACGTGCGCGAGGATTCCCACAGCCTCCTCCTCCCCTCCCCCACCCCGAGAACCGAGCGGGCGGCGGGGAGGCGCGGCAGGAGGCGCAGGGGCCCGGGTCGGGGTCGGGGTCGCGGTCGGGGTCGGGGTCGCGGTCGGGGTCCGAGCCCCGCGGCCTGGGCCGCACTCACCATGTCGTACACGTTGAGCACCACTAACTGGTTAGCCCCCATCCTCCTCCCCGCGGCCGCCGCCTCGTCCTCCAGCCGCTCCGTCTCCGCGGGGCCGAGGCCGCTCCCACCCCCGCGGCCACTTCAGGGAGCCAGAGCCGGGCACTACGCGCACAGCCCGGCCCGCGGCAGCCGGCGCGGGAGCATCGGGAAGCCGGGCCGCTCCCGGGCGCCGCCGACAGGACCCTCTGCGCCGACGGGGCCGGACCGCTGGCGGGCCCGCTCCGGCTCAGGCGCCTCCCCTCGGCAGCGGACACGTGGGGAAAGGCGGGGCCTGAGCGGGGGCGGGGGGCGGGCGCCAGGCGCCCCGGGGGCGGGGCCGGCCCGGCGCCGGGGCTGAGCCCGCCTGCGCTCTGGCTCCGAGCGGCAGCACCTCGGGACCTAAAATGGCGCCTCTCCGCGCTGGAGGAGCGGGGCGTACCACAAAGACTACCGTTCCCGGCATGCAGCGAGGAGACTCCGGCTGGCCGTTCCAAGCGCGGAGGCCGAGGCTCGACACCTGCGGCTCCCAGCATGCAGCGCGGGCCCCGCTCCTTACCGTACCAGGCCTCCTCCGGAGACTACAGCTCCCAGCATGCAGTGCTTGGGATCCGCGCCGGTCCTGTGCGGTCCGCCCTTGGCTGCAGGTGAAGTCCTCTACCTTCAACCTTTCCTTTTCTTCCGTGCTGCTGCTGTTAGTTTCTGTCGCGTTGAGCCCTTTGAAGGCGGAGGAATGGAATGTGGCAAAAGACCTTAGCGACGACTGTTTTCCACACCCTCCTTGCCTTTTTTTTTTTTTTTTTTTTTTTGCACTTGGAGGGGTGAGGAAATAGAGGAAGGCAGGTTGCTGGGGAGGGGAGGGGAGGGCCGGGCCACGACATGCGTCCAGTTAGTGCTCAATACGAAATCATATGAAACTATCTTGCTGACATGGGAAGAGAGTGCAGTAGTCACAGGTTAGCATAAACAGGGACACAAGTAGTTGCTTTTCTATTTATTGAATAAATATTTGTTGTGTACCCGCCATATGCCTGGTAGTGTTGTAGGCCCTGGGGAATACCGTAATCAGAAGGAGGAAGGACAAATATGGGTGGTACCTGCTTTGCAGAGAATCAGAATAGGGTAAAGTGGTTGACAATCTTAGATTGGCTGCAGCTGGAGGGTCTTGGTGACGAGGCTTGGTGTAAATTGAGACTGGAATGGCAAATATCTGGACAAATATCCCATTAAAATGGAAGAACAAAGCTAACATTCAGGCATACAGGAATAGGGAGCTATTCCACAGCGTGTGCCAAAAGGTGGCTTGGATGCTGGGAGTACTGGGGAACGCTGAGAAAATTCTGTTTGTAATATTTTGAAACTGGAGCCTATGGGAACTTGCTAATGAGTTGGGTGTTGAGTTTGTTAGGGAGAAAGTATTCAAGGATAATTTCTAGCTGTTTTGGCTTAGGAGATTCTGTAGGTGGTAGTGCCATTTATAAGATGTGAAACTTGGGAAGGACAGTTGGGAAAAGGGAAATCAAGAAGTATGGTCTGGTCATGTTCAGTTTCAAATGCCTTGTAGACATCCCTGATGTCAGGGAGGCACTGGCATAAACTGGCCATTATCAATAGACTCTTAAGCCTTGGGGCTGATTGGATGACCTATCAGAGAATGTGTAGCTAAAGAAAGGGGCGGAAGGTAAAGCTCTAGGATTCTTCCTTTAGAGGTCAAGTAGAGGAGGAAAAGGAGCCGCAGAGGCAGGGGAACATGCAACGCAGGAGCCCCACGACTATCAGATTCAGCAGTAAGGAGGTTACTGATAATCTTGACATGAGCAGCCTTAGGAGAAGTGGGATCCAAAGAATATCTGGAATGGTTTGATGAGTGAACGCAAGGTGAAGAAATGGGGACCATTGGCAATTTGAGATAATAGTGGCATAGGGCTGTGTGGTCAACGGAGGCCATTTGAAAGATGAGAGATCCCAAGGTAGAGTTGTATGCAAAGAGAGAAATTGATGATTTAGGAGATGGGGGAGATTTCTAAAGGCAAGGAAGAAGAAGCAATCGAGCGCACAAGTGGCAGGGTTGGCCTTGAGTACAAGGGATGCTTCATCCATAGCGACAGCACATAGGCCGATGCAGGTACGTAGTGGTGGCATAGAATATATAGAAGACAAATGAACACGGGTTAGAAATTTGGGGGTGAGGGGATGAAGATATTCTCTCCTGATTTGCTTTTTCTCAAAAAATAGGAGGCAGGATGATCATTGGAGAGTCAGAGGGAGAACATGAAGGATGTAGAGAATTTGAAGAGAGAAGTATAGAATAGGGAAAAAACAAATATACTAGGGAAATAGGATGCACTTGCCAGTGTTGAGTGACAGTAGGTCTGTGTGCATGATTGTTATTTGACTGTCATCAGACATGTTGTGGACAAATTTCTAAAATTAGTTTTTGGTGTATCCTGCTGCTTTGCTTCCTTTCCCTTCCCCACTGTGTCCTTCCTCTCCACCTTCCTCAGCTGAACAAACTAGAGCAGAAAAGGCACTATCCATTAGCACTTCGTTTAGTTTTGGCTGTGCTACTGAGGGCTCCCACCTCCGGCTCACTTCACCTCTGAGCAGCCTGCATCCTCACTTTGGCCTTTGTGATCTCATCGGCTCTCAGCTGCCACTATCACATGCATGCTGAAAAGTCTAATGCCCTCATCCCCAAACTCCTTGTTTCTCCTGAGCACTAGGCCAGTATAACCTGCAGACTACAGGACTTCTCCAGAAGAGGTATTAGTTTCCTATTGCTCTTACAAAGGACCACTAGCTAGGTGGTTTAAAACAATATAACACAAATTTCTTATCTTACAGTCCTAGAGGTTAGAAGTCCAAAATGGGTCTCCCTGGGCTAAAATCAAGGACTGTGTTCCTTCTGGAGGCTCTAAGGGGAGCACCTGCTTCCTTTCTCAGCTCCTATAGGCTGCTCTCATTCCTTGGCTCATGGCCACATTGCCCTAATCTCTCTTTCCATCATCGTATCTTCTCTTGACTCTCCTGTCTTCCCCTTTTCACTTAGAAGGACCCTGGTAATTACATTGGTCCACCTGAATAATGCAGGATAATGTCATCTCAAGATCCTTAATTGATCACATCTGCAAAGTCTTTTCCAATGGAAGGTAGTTTATTTGCAGGTTCTGGAGAATTTGATGAGGAGAGCTGTTATTCTGCCTACACACAGGATGTTCCATGGTCACTTTGAATTCGTTAGATACAAAAAAGAATTCACTGTGAGATGATGAGATGAGTTGTATTGCTCATATGATTTAGGTATTGATCCACCAAAAACAAATTATCCATTCATTCATTGAACAAGTATTAAATGAGCGCCTTCTATGTGTCAGCCGCTGTGTATCACTTGTACATTGTGATAAAACAGACATGACTGCTGCCCTCATGAAGCTAACAAACCCGTGGAAGACATTAAAAAAAATGGATATATTTATTAATTTATCATTTAAATTGAAGGAGACAAGCAGTAGTAGAGCGTAACAGGGACGACTTATTTGGGGTAGTTGTCAGAAGCTACACCAGTAATAATAAAGAAAATATAAACAGAACTTAATAGAAACGAGGAAAATGTAATATAAATATTAACAAAGAAAATTTAATGTAAGGAACATTTCATATAAAATTTAATATAAATGTAAATTGAGTATTGGAGGCCTAAAAAAGACAACCAGGGATCACTAAGTTGTTAGAGAAGTAGTAGGCACCAGAAGCAGCTGTCATCGCCAGGCCTTGGGGAACAGTAACAGTTGGGATTTAAAGACTTTTAGAGCTTGGAGGAGACTCCTGTTGAGCTGGAATCGAAAACTCTGAAGAGGGCAGTTTGGTGAGCTGGACTAGTGTCTCTAAAGGGGCACGATGATGCTGGTCCTGGAAGGTTTTTAGAAGTTTGAGTTAGACATAGTGGAATTTAGGAAACAAAACAGGATCATAGCAGAAGAGAGGAAAACATAAAACGACAAAATCAGAGAGGGAGACAAACCATGAGAGACTCTTAATCATAGGAAACAAACTGAGGGTCTCTGGAGGGGAGGAGGGTGGGTGACAGGGTCACTGGGTGATGGGCACTGAGGAGAGCACATGATGTCATAATAATAACTGGGTGTTATATGCAACTGATGAATCACCACTACCTCTGAAAACAATAAAACATTATATGTTAATTAACTGAATTTAAATTAAAAATAAGAGAAATTTCCTTAGGGAATCCCTTCTCCTGTTAACTCTTTCTGAATAATCAGTTCTCTTTTCAGAAAATAAAGGTGTCTCAAAAAAAAAAAAAAAAGGCTGGAGTCAGAAATCAAACAGTGCTACTAAAGCCTGTTGCCCTGCTGCCCTGCTGGGGTGAATAAAAATGGCTAAGATCACACAGACAGGAAAGGTGGAGACAGGAAGCCCTTCTTCCTCCTGCCTGTGCCTGCCAGCTACAGGAGTGAGCTTGGAAATGGAGCCTCCAGCACCTGGTACTAGAGAAACCAACTGGACAGCAGAGTCCCAGCCTCTGCAAGTAGAAAGGCAGATTTGGAACAGATAGGAGCCTCGATACAAGCTCCCATAAATGCTTAGGCAACCTAGAGGGAGACCTCAGTTTCCAAAGCATTATAGAGGAAGATAAATTTTAAGTTTTTTGCTTCGTGAACTGTGTTGTAGAGAGGAACCAAGTCCAATTGTGCCTTATTTATTGTTGTGTAGTGGGTTACCCCCAAACATAGCAGCTTAAAACAGCTTACAGTTTCTGGGTCAGGAGTCTGAGAGCATCTGATTGATGTTTAGGTGAATGTTGCTGGCTCAGTCTTTCCTGGAGTTTCAGTCATTTGAAGGCTGGACCAGGGCTGGAGGCTCCATTTCCAAACTCACTCATGTAGCTGAATCGGGAGGCTTTGGTTCGTCACCAAATGGGCCTTTCTAGGGTCACTGCTGGTGGCTGCTTCTCTCAGAGGGATCCAGAGTGGGAAGGTGACAAGGAAACTGCAGTGTCTTGTAACTGAAGCTTGGAAGTGACCGACTGTCACACAAACCAACTCTGGAGCAATGTGGGAGGAGGACTGCCCAGGGTGTCAATGCTAGGAGGCAAGGATCATTGGGGGGCCATCCTGACTGCTTGCAGCTGGTTAAGTAGTCCAGGGTTAAAAGGTGCAAAGGTAAGACTCTATAGTTCATCTTGAAACAGTTCATTTTCCATTTTGGACTTGCAAACTGAGGAGGAAAATCCACTGAAAAATTCAGAAGATAATTGTATTTTTTGTCTTACATGTCTTTTGTAATGAAGTGGCTTCTTAAGCCTTTGATGATTGTACCAGCTTATGGATGTGACAGGGAAAGTGACTGATCTTCGATCAATCTTGCATAGTGGTCATTGAAGTAGCTGCTAAGGTAGGTGCTACTGCTCTATATCTGGAGTGGATGATCATTTTTTGCAACATTTAATTGTTCCTGGCTAGGGGGTAAGAGTTCAGTGTAGCTCAACTGTCAATGGTGTGCTTCCCATGTTTCCAGAATTATTCCATTTTGGTGCTAAATAGAAATCCTTCTTGAAATTTGGGCAGTCAGCTGCCCTAGTGGCTGTTTCATTCTTTATTACAAGAGGACCTGGGCCCCACAACAGCATGTGACCAGACCAGACATGGAACTTGGCTTGGTTACCTGTATGAGGATGTATCCTTAGGAATTCTGTAAGATGGGCAGATAATGGAATATTGTTTTCCATGTGAACATGAACTGTTTTATTTATTTATTTATTTATTTATTTATTTATTTATTTATTTATTTATTTGTTTATTTATTTTTAAGGTTTTATTTATTCGTGAGAGACACATAGAGGCAGAGACATAGGCAAAGGGAGAAGCAGGCTGCCTGCGAGGAACTCCTGTGGGACTCTATCCCGGGACTCCAGGATCATGACCTGAGCCGAAGGCAGACACTCAAAAACTGAACCACCCAAGTGTCCCTAATGTAAACTGTTTCTGACCTTTTCTCATGGGACAGAAAATAATGCATTTGCCAGATTGATTATCACATTCCAGATACCTGAGCTCCAATGAACCTGCTCTAGCACGGATACCACATCTGGCACACCAGCTGTAACTGGTGCTACTTGGACCTCTTGGTGCCTGTGAGCTGCTATGACCCTTTGAGGTCCTCAAGTGTAAAGGGAGTTTATGACCCTTTGGGTCTCTGAGTATCAACATCAACTCAGACCTCTGTCTAATAGTCCTCAAAATGTTTAGCTGTTCCCCTTTCATCAGTATGGTCACCTGAGTAAGTGGCCATGGGTCTCTGGGGAAATTGTCATGGTATAGACTTGCCACAGTGTTGCAATGTCCTTCTTCCCTAGGGAACTGTTGGATTCTGGGTCTGGTAACCTACTCAGGTCTGGGGACTGGAGCAAGGGACTGTGTTACTTTTTTTAGGACAATTGCCCTTAGCTACTTCCTCCATTTTTTCCCTATTAATAGATGTAATCAACAGCCTTGTTGGCTATTTTGCAATTTTGCCACTAATGCCAGCATATTCTATTGGCTATCTTCAAATTCCCTGCAGATCAAATCCCTGTGACCCCTCCTTGCCTGTCATCATGGTTATTGTGGTCTTCTGGTTTCTTGAAGTGAAGTGCCATCACCAACCCTCTCTTGCTTTGAAGCCTCATCCTCCTCAGGAGTGTTAATACACTTGGTCTGTGACTGCCTCACCTGCCCTCATCCCCGGCTGCAGTGGCCTCCACCATTGGGCATTTCAGTGATGCTGGTGGTCTTCTCATTAGATTGTCCTTGATGAATAGTGTGCCATCTGGGCCTCATGTAGTGCATCCATTCCAGCCCGTCACCTCCCTGAGCCTTTTTATTCCAACACCAGGACACTCAGGCTTTTCTACTTGCTGAGAGTTGGCTGGCATTTTTTCCAGGTTTCTAAGAGACTGCAGTAAGTTTGCCCCATCCCTTAGGGTCCTTGCTAGGGTGTTAGTTAAATCCCATATCCTGAGAAAGTGACTTCAAGTCAACAAAAACTTGCTTATCCAGTTTTAAAGAACCCTTGGAATCCAATCTCAGGTGTACTCCCCTGGGTCTGCAGATAAATGCAGGTTCATTTTTTTTCCCTTCTTCCCTCCCTTATCAGGCCCAGCATGTCACCAGCTGGGTAATGCTGGGATTTAACCTGTGACAGCAGGTGGGGGCACATGTTCTCTTGTGAAGGGGTGGCTTCTGTAGCATCCTCCAGCTCAGCAAAAGTGTTAGCTCCTACTAGAGACAGATGGGCAATGTCTGCATGCCCAGAGGGTGGGCGTGGGGAGAATAGGTGTGGAGAGGTGGCATATTCAGAGGCATCCATCCAGATGACCCTGTCCCAGTTCCCAGTCCTGGGTTTGCCCTGCCAGCACCTTGACCTTTGCATAACAAATCTGCCTTCATTGAGGAGTCAAACATCTCTAGGGCCCTATGATTGAAGTTCCTCAGTCATGTCTGTCTTTCTGTTACTGGTGACCATGATCTCTTTATATAAGCTACCACTGAGGCACTGTGGTTCTAACTGCTGAGGCTCTCTCTAACCTTCTGCAGGTTGTCAGGTGATAACAAGTGTTGGCGAGGATGTGGAGAAAAGGGAGCCCTTGTGCACTGTTGGTGGAAATGCAAATTTGTTCAGCCACTATGGAAAATAGTATGGAGGTTTCTCAAAAAATTAAAAATAAAACTGCCCTATGATCCAGCAATTCCATTCTGGTCCTGAGTCTATAGCCAAAGGAAACGAAAGCAGGATTTTGAAGAAATATATGCATTCCCATGTTTATTGAAACATGATGGAGATCCCTGGTGGCTCAGTGGTTTAACGCCTGTCTTTGGCCCAGGGTGTGATCAAGTCCCATATTGGGCTCCCTGCATGGAGCCTGCTTCTCCCTCTGCCTGTGTCTCTGCCTCCCTCCCTCCCTCTCTCTCTCTCTCTGTGTGTGTCTCATGAATAAATAAATAAAATCTTAAAAAAAAAACGTGATTTATAATGGCCAAGATATAGAAACAACTTAAGTGTCAAGGGATGAATGGATACAAAAGATGTGATATACATATATGTACAATGGAATATAATTTAGCCACAAGAAAGGAGATCCTGCTATTTGCAACAACATGGATAGAGTCTGAGGGCATTATGCTAAATGAAATAAGCCAGACAGAGAGACGAATGCTGCATGATTTCACTTATGTGTGGAATCCTAAAAAGCCAAACTCGTAAAACCAGGTAGGATGGGGATTACCAGAGGCAGAGGGCTAGGAGAATTGGGCAGGTGCTGTTTAAAGGTACAAACTTGGAACTAGTACATAAATAAGCCCTGGAGGGCTACTGCACAGCATAGTGATTATAGTCAACAATACCACATCATAAATTTCACAGTTGCTGAGAGATTAGATCTTAATTGTTGCCATCACAAAAAGTGAGATTATTATGTGACATGATAGAGGTTAGCTAATGCCACAATGGTGATCATATTGTAACACATAAATTTAGCAAATCAGTACATTGTACATCTTAAACTTATACAATTACAGAATGTTATACGTCAATCATATTTCAATTTAAAAAATACATAATTTAAGGCACCTGGGTGGCTCAGTTGGCTAAGCATCTGCCTTCAGCTCAGGTCATGATCCCAAGGTCCTGGGATCAAGCCCCACATGGGGCTCCCACACAGCAGGGAGTCTGCTTCTCCCACTCCCTCTGCCCCTTCCCCTCACCCCCTGCTTGTTCTCTTGCTCTCTCTCTCAAATCTTTAAAATACATACATATGTATATGTATATGTATGTATTTTATATATATTATATATATACAACTTAGCTGTAACCCACAGACTTTGCTGTCTTTGTCAGCCAATGTTTTTCAAACACTTGCTCCATTGTACCTGCTAGCACCCCACCACCAGGACATTTACCCAAGTCACTACCAATGAAAAACTTTAGAAACTGAACCACCAGCTTGAGCCAGAAACTATTGGGGCCCCTCATATTCTCCAGGATGGTGCTGTCTCTGCCTGCTGGATGCCGGATGCTGGATCAGTCTCAAATGCCTTGTGACCGCCTGTTTTCTCAAACCACTTGTGTCACCACTGTGTTACTCCAGGTCCTCTGAGAAACAGTCACCAACATGGAATTAAATATGCAGTGATTTTATCATAGGAAGTACTTGAATGAAAGGAAATAGGAAGCTGTGGAGGGTTGGGAGAATGGGGGAGAGAAAGGGTGAGAGATGGGGATTGGATGGATGTATTACATATCACCATGCAACGGCCATTCAATATATGGAAGGTTTGGGAAAGTTTTGAGGAGTGCTTGAGATAGGGTGGCAGGAGTCCTGGTCTACCTAGGATCTAGTCTGCTGAAGTAACCTCACTGCGCTCAGTTACTGGAGGGGAGCAGCCTGGGGGTAGGTATGTGGTCTTGGGCAAATGTGATGGTGGATGCTAGAGCTCAGCTGCCAATGCCCTCTGACAATTGCACTCTTGCAGCAGGGGGCCTGTGAGGAGCATTCTCAAGGCTACCACAAACCACTAATCTTCCTACCACCCCACCTACATCAGCACCCCGGAATTCTGGCTTCCCTCCTGCAACAGTGAGGGAGATGTTCCATTCTTAGTCTCAGCTCTGGATCTCAGCTATCTTGCCTGCTCAAGGATTTTGGCCCAATAGTTACCCCTTTCTCTCCCAAAGATCAATTTTCCCCAGCTACTGGATTATTCCTGTCAATATTTGATAACATCTTCCTGGCCTCAACTCTGCCTCTGGTTGGACTTCATTTCTTTGCTTCTTGCCACAGAAAGAAAGTAACTCCCTGAAAGAGTGATCTCCACTTACTGTCTGCACTTTTTCATTTCCCATTCTTTTGTTCACAATGAAAAGATTTTTTTTTTAAATAAAAATCATGTAAGTTTGGACATCTGAGTAGCTCAATTGGTGAAACATCTGCCTTTGGCTCAGGTCATGATCCCAGGGTCCTGAGACGACTGAGCTTCACATTGGGCTCCCTGCTAAGCGGGGAGTCTGCTTCTTCCTCTCCCTCTACCCCTCCTCCTGCTTATGCTCTCTCTCTCTCTCTCAAATAAGCAAAATCTTTCAAAAAATGGTATAAGTTCAATGTGGTGGGAAACAATAGCAAGAAAGCAAGTATCACCTGTAATTACATCATATTAAGTTGGGTGATGATGATCGTTTCATTTGCTTTGTGCACAGGCACCCTGTTCTACGTTAAGGAGAAAGTTTTACGTGCTGTTCCTCTTTTGTTTCCCTCTTCCATGGTTTTCAGGGTTTGGTTTATAACTTCCTCTCCACATCTCTTGGTATATCCCCACTCCCCCTCCCACAGTGACATACATGTCTGCATGCACACAATGTTAACAAAATGATAAGTATCTTTCCACACATTTCTTCACACCCTTGTAAACAGAGCTCTTCTTTTGTTTATAAAGTCATACTGTAACTACTACTCTGCAGCTTGCTCTTCTCAACAAAAACTTGTGGAAAATCTTTTAAATCAACTAGTACAGATTGATCTATGTGATCAATGTACAATCATTTATTTAACTATTCACCTATTAATAGGCTAATTCTTTGTTCGTAGGGTTTTGTCATGACAACCAATGATACAGCATGTGTATATATAGGTCCTCCCCATCCCATCTCATTCTATAAATAGATTACTAAGAGTGAAATTTCTGGGTCCAAGAGCATGTATATTTTTAATACTTACCAGATTACTCTCCATAAAAGCTGAAATAATTTGCTTTTCTTTCTGAAGTGTGAGAGAATTTCCTTCCTGGGGCTCCTGGGTGGCTCAGTTGATTGAGCATCAGGCTCTTGGTTTGGGTTCAGGTCACGTTCTCAGGATCATGGAATCAGCCACACGTCAGGCTTCAAACTCAGTACAGAGTCTGCTTGGGATTCTTTCCCTCTCCCTCCCTCCCTCCCACTGTTCCCCCCCCCCCCCCCCGCCCCCGCCATATGCACACTCTTAAATCAATCAATCTGAAAAGGAGAATTTCCTTCCCATCCCTGACTCTCATTCCTTCCTAAGGGTATTATTCTTCTAAGTTTGTGCCCCCAGGCGAAGAGTATAAGCTTCCCTATAACTTTAGTTTGCATCTTTCTTTTTTTTTTTAATTTTAAATTTTTAAATTTTTAATTTTTTTTTTTTTTTTTTTTTTTTTTTTTTTTTTTTAGTTTGCATCTTTCTGACTGCTGGTGAGGCCGAGCATTCTCGGAGGATAAATGTGGGATTTGGAGCCAGTGTGCCTGAGTATGAATTCCATCTCTTATCAGTTGTGTGACCTTACTAAAATTATTTACCGTTTTTGTACCAGTTTCCTCATCTCTATAATGGAATAATAATACTCCCATCTGAGAGCATTGTTGAAGAAGGTTAGGTAAATTATTAGAACAATTCCTGGCACATAGTAAGCACTAGAAAACAATTGTTTTAAATATGTTAATTGGATATTTGGGTATGCTCTTTTGTAAAATGACTATATTCTTAGCTCTCACTTCTATTAAATGGTTTTGCTTTTTTTTTCTATCAAATATTTTTATCGGATTTTGTCTCACCTCCTTCGATAAATATTTTACAGATTTTTTTTCCTGTATGTCATACACATTTTATATTAAATTTAATTCTATATAATTTGTCACTACAATTAATAAATTACTTTTTATTATTTCTATTGCTGTTATATAACATTTTAGAGAAAAGTTTTATTTATTTGAGTTTATTTATTTGTTTGTTTATTTATTTATTTATGAGAAAGAGAGCACAAGCAGGGGGAAGGACAGAGGGAGAAGCAGACTCCCTGCTTAGCAGGGATCCTGTGGAGCTTGATCCCAGGATCTTGAGATCATGACCTGAGCAGAAGGCAGACAGTTAACTGAGCCACCCAGGCACCCCTAGAAAAAGTATTAAGTTTTAAATATTTATTTCATATTGAACCATCAAATTATTTTAATCTAGTAATTCTTTTGGGTTTCTTAGGCATATGATCTTATTAGTGAAAGAGAGGATTTTATCTCCTTTATCCCAGTATTTATAGTGGTTATTTTATTTTCCTCACGTAATGTCAGAACTTTCAAAACAGTGATGAGTAGCAGGTATGCTTGTCTTGTTCTTGATTTTAGTAAAATAAGAAATTCAAGTTATGGACAACAGCTTTGATCTGTGTCCATGGAGTTCCATCTTGCTCTTATATTTTTTGTGATCTTCTATTCTGTATTTCTGTCCTATAGATTTCAGACTAGTTTAGCTAGTCTCAACAATCACATAAGCCAGTTCTTTTATTTATTTTAATTTTTTAAAAAAATTTTTTACGATAGTCATACAGAGAGAGAGAGAGAGAGAGAGAGAGAGGCAGAGACACAGGCAGAGGGAGAAGCAGGCTCCATGCACTGGGACCCTGACATGGGATTCGATCCTGGGTCTCCAGGATCCCGCCCTGGGCCAAAGGCAGGCACCAAACCGCTGCGCCACCCAGGGATCCCAAGCCAGTTCTTTTAAATAAATCTCTTTACACACACATATGCACTTCCCACAAATTCTGCTTCTCTAGTTGAACTCTGACTGTTACAAACACTAATTGTTTGAAAGCTGTGGTAACATTTGGACAAGTTAAGAAGCTTATGTTGAACATTAAAATCGTATTTTATTTTATTTATTTTTTTTGAAAATCGTATTTAAAAAAAAATTAAAACTTAGAGCATCAGCTTCTCATTTTCAATATAATTTGTACATTTCATGTGTGAATCTACTACTAGAAAAACTTCTGAAATATATTTCAGACTATTTAGGACACATTAAGTTTTTTATACATAAATTAGCTATAGCCATATAAGGTTTAGGACACATTAAGCTTTTTTCATAAGGTTTCATATGAAAAGTTTCGTGCAAAATAATAATATTTCAGGGGCACTTGGGTGGCTCAGTTGGTTAAGCGTTCAACTCTTGATTTTGGGTCATGTTAAGATCAGGTCTTGAGATCCAGCCTTTCTTGTATCCCTCCCCCACCCCACTCAAAAAATATTTGACACACTTATACACTTTCAAAAATTTGCATTCATTCTTAGGAAGTATTTTAATAGCTAAATTTAGTTTTCTTTTCTTTTAATTTGTAAAAAGCCATGTAAGAATATATAGAATATGTTAAAGTAAGGGCAAACACCTTAAAATTAATTTTATAACACACAATAGATCTGAGAATATTTGTCTTGGGGTAATTTAAAAACATTTTTCAGGGGCTTGAGTGTGTTGATAAGCTTGTTTTGTTGATAAGCACATACTATCCGTTTATCCTTAGTATTTCTTGGTCACATACACACTCGTAATATAAACATATATACACACACTCTATATATATATATCCATACTAAACAAACTTCCATTTTTCCTAATTATTCTTTTGTTTTCTTTCATATCTGTTAATTGGTTCATAAATCTGTTGTTTATAAATCCTCATATAATGGAAATAGCTCAAAACTAGAATACTGAAGAACAGTAGCATCAGGACAAAGAGGAAAGCAGCAACCAGGTAGCCACTTGGACTGAAATAAGAAAAAAAAGTCATTAGAAGTTATCATTCACTTTGTTAATTTATTTAGTCAACGTTTGAATCGCTAGCTCTTATGCCACTGACAGAAAGCTGCGTAAAGGTAAAGTGTAAGGGTAAGACATCCTGTCTACCCTCGGGATGTTTGCCTCTTAGTGTTTGAGGTCAACTAGGGAGGGAAATAGTGTGATCAATAGAATTAGAGAAAAAATAAAATTCATGGGGGCCAGACATCAAGGAAGACTTTCCAGTGCACATGACCTTTGAACTGGGAATTGGTAGAGGAGTTGGCTGGGTAGGAGTAGGATTAGGGGCATTAAAATGGCTTCGCTAGGGGATCCCTGGGTGGCGCAGCAGTTTAGTGCCTGCCTTTGGCCCAGGGCACGATCCTGGAGACCCAGGATCGAATCCCACGTCGGGCTCCCGGTGCATGGAGCCTGCTTCTCCCTCTGCCTATGTCTCTGCCTCTCTCTCATTCTGTGTGACTATCATAAAAAAAAAAATCAACTGGATATGCTATGTCAAAGTTCTCAAAGTTAATAAAAAAATGTTCTCATAGAGAAAAAAAAAGATTAAAAAAAAAAATAAAATGGCTTCGCTAGATAAAAATACCTGGAAGTAGAGGAAGAAAGAGGTGGGCATAGAGTTTTAGGCTAAGGGAGATGCACACACAAAGTCACAGAGGCCTGGGAAAACCTTAAGATCACTCTAGATATTCTGGAACTAAAGCGAATTCAGCATGATTAGAACTCAGGTGGTAGGCAGAGTAGTAGAGATGAAGAATGAGAGGTAGTTAGAGACGAGAGAGACAGCTTTTTTTTTTTAATATTTATTTATTTATTCATGATAGATGTAGAGAGAGAGAGGCAGAGACACAGGAGGAGGGAGAAGCAGGCTCCACACCGGGAGCCCGACACGGGACTCGATCCCAGGACTCCAGGATCGCACCCTGGGCCAAAGGCAGGCGCCAAACCACTGAGCAACCCAGGGATCCCCAAGAGACAGCTTTTATTAAACTACAAGGTGTGGATTTTGGAAGGATGATTCTGATTGTAGGGTGAAGAATGGATGAATGGGAAGTATGTATGTAGAGGGAGGAAAACCAGTTATGAGGTTTTTGTAATAATGCAATTATGATGGTGATCTTTAGTAAATTAGTGGCTGAGGAAATGGAGAGAAGCAGACAGATTTAGAAGTTAGACTGGATTGATCTTGGATTTTTGAGATGTGGGGTTTGCAAGTAATGGATGTCTCCCAAGTTTTGGAATGAGGTGACTATGATGCTATCCATCACCATTCACTGATAGAGGAAATTCAGAGGGAAGGACACATTAGTGAGAGTGTGTAAATACATATGGTTGGTTTACTTTTGGGTATATTGAATTGGAGGTGCCTGAGGGTCAACCAGGGTTGTGTGTGTGTATGTGTGTGTGTGTATACCACTTATTAGATGCTATCTTAAGCTGGGTGCCAGACATATCCCTCTTCACCTGGCACTCTACATGGGTGCCTCCCCATTTATTTATTTATTGCTTGAGCCAAACACTGTGGTACTTTCTATTTGGTGTCCTGGTATCTGACTTTAGTTTTTGGTTCCCTTTTAAGCCATAATTATTTATTTGCAGTGTTACAGTTTCCTAAGATCCCCAGTCCTCTTACTCTGACCTTTCTCCTATGGGAATACATGCTTAATCTGGTTCCAGTGAATGGTTTCCTTCTTGGAAGTTAATTAACTAACTCAACAAATCATCTGATATAAGCCAGGTTTGCTTGAAAAAACAATGTGTAATAATTGACATGGTCCCCATCCTTAGAAAGCTTGCATTTTAGTGGAGACATAATAATTAATCAATGATGAGAAAAGTAATATAAACTTACACTTGTCATAAGAACTAAGTAGGAGAGATATACAACACAATGGAAACTTACTGTAGGAAGGATTTAACCTGGTGATACAGTCAAGAAATGCCTCCATGGGGGAAAAGATGATTATCCTAAAATTTGAAAAATTAAGTAGAAATGTGGTTCATGAAGTTAAGTAGATAAAGAAGGGAAGGAAGAGTTGCCAGACAGAAGAAATAGCATGTGCAAAGGTCCTGCTATGGGACAGAGTATGGAGTATGGGACCTTCTGAAAGAAGGTTGGTGAGTCTAGAGCGGAAAAGATTAGGGGAATATAATATGAGATTAGAGAAACAGGTCAGGGCCAGATCATGGAAGGTCTTGTAGGCCATGTTGAAGAGTTAATCATTTTATGGGAAAAAACTTAAGGATTTCAAGTTATAAAATTAGCATTTGAGAAGATCACTTTGGCTCCAGTGAAGAAAGTGGACCAGAAGAAATAGAAATGAATAAGGGGAAATCTGTCAGGTGTCTACTGCAGTAATTCCCATCTGAGACGATGGTAGCTTGGATTGGAGTGGTGGTGATGGGGTTGGTAAGAAGTGGATTTGTTCAAGGGCAATTCAGGAGAGTAAATGAATGGGAGCCAATGACTGTTTGGATGAGCTGGAGATAGAGAAATGAACACAACCCCAGGTTTTGTTTGGGTTTTTTTTTCTTTGACTCATAGATGTTTGACTTGTATGGTTCAATATGCTCTTTCCTGAGATAAGGAAATCTGAAAAATGGGTTGCCACACAATGTTCATCGTCAGAAGGCATCATTCTTATTATAGACCATGTGAATGGATTCTCTTGGAGCTGTGCAATGACGACCCATAGGGCTGTATGCAATTACCCAGATGGATCCCTTTTAGAGTGGGACAAATAACGGGGGAAGGGAGTGGGTGATAAGATCATGAGATCATTTTTGGACATGTGCAGTTTGACCAGTCTTTGAACCATCTAAGAGAAGAAGTTAATAGACGGTGGGATGTATGGCTCTGGATGGGTTAGAGATATGATTCAGGCGTCATGTGTATATAGATGCTTACTGAAACCATGAGTATGGATGAGCTTGCCAAAGTGAGAAGCTCCCAAGACCAATGCTGAGTCCTGAGGGAAATCAATATTTATTGGATGGTGAAGGAGGTCAAGCCTCTCTTTATTTGAGAAAGAGTGGCTATAGAAGTTTAGGAAAACCCATAAAGCAATACAGCAGTCAAAGGAAAAGTAAAAAACAAAACAAAACAAAAAACAACAAAAAAAAAAAAAACAAAGGAAAAGTCAACACCAATGAAACATGAGATAAGATGAGGACAGGCAAATATCTATTAGGTTCAGTGTAGGCCAGTTCCAGTTCAAGATGGTGACATAGGAGGTTCCTGAACTCACCTCCTTCCATGGTCACACCCATGCCAAAGCTACCTACGGAACAGTTCCCTTCAAAAGAAATCCAGAAACTAGCTGAGCAACATCTACACATTGGGCAAATGAGAAAAAAGTCTACCCACATCAAAATGGGTAGAAGAAACTAGGATAGTCTCACTGTAAATCCCACACCCAGCATAGCAACATACAACTGGGAGGGAACTCTCAACTCCAGCTTCTCCTGAAGAGTAAAGAGTTTGGACTCAATGTTTAGAGGCCCAACTTACAAGAGTTCCACCTGAGGGACGGGTGCCTCAAACACTTAGCTCTGAAAGCCAACTGGGCTTGTGTCTATGAGACCCACAAGGTTATAGCAAACAAAAAGGGTCCCATGGACTTGCAGTGGCTAAGCCCCCCTTTTGCCCCTCAGCACAGAGATAGCAGACTGAAATGCCCATCTCTGTCTTTCCATGAAAGAGGCCTATTTGTTTATGTTAAAAGCTGCAACCTGAAGTTTAGGTTCCTGATTTAACACAAATCAAGGGACTGGCTACAATCCTCTCCAGAAACTGGGGACTGTGGCAGGTGCCATCTTGATGTTCCCTCTCTGCTTCTACCTAGGTCACCGGTATCTTTCTGAAAGGAGCTGTGAACATGTCTGGTGCCCCAACTGCTATGGCTGCTGGCTAGGAGACATACCCTTTATTGCCTGGCTCTGGTGGCTGGCAGAGCTCACATTCTCTAGTAGTATAGGATTATAACAAACAAACTCAGTTTAACTGGCTATTAACCCTAGACTTGGTGCAGGGGGAGCAGATAAAAACACTCATCTCCTAGTCTTTTCCTGAAATAGCTCTATTTGCATACTTTAAAGGCTGCTGCCTGAGGGTCCAGCTTCCAATTAGCTTGCATCTAGGTGCTGATTGAGGGTCTTCTTTGGGACACTGACCGGTCTTGGCACACCCTCAACTACTAGGGGACCCTAAGAACTAAGAAGGTATCTTGGACAAGCAAAGGTTTGAGAGACACTAAACAGCTAGGGTCAGGCTGAATAAGAGGTTCATCTCCTTTCTTGAGACCAGTGCTTCAAGACTGGGAAAGGGGGCTGTTTTATTTAATTCAGAAACCAACGCAGGCAGGTCATTGGTGGAGGTGTAAGACAAAGAGCTGAGTGGGTGGATTAGGGAAAAAGGGACAAAATATAGGGAAAAAGAGGTTATGTAGACAAGCGTTTGGAGAACTTTGTCTCACAAAAGAGGGGGGAGAGAGAATGGCAGCTGGAGGGGGATAGGAGGTTGCGGTTTTATTTATTTATTTTAATTTAAAACATGGGGGGTGGGGGCACCTGGGTGGCTTAGTGATTGAGCATCTGCCTTTGGCTCAGGGCATGATCCCAGGGTCCTGGTATCAAGTCCTGCATCGGGTCCCCCGCAGGGAGCCTGCTTCTCCCTCTGCCTATGTCTCTGCCTCTTTCTCTCTGTGTCTCTCATGAATGAATAAAATCTTAAAAAAAAACTTGGGGGGTGATTAAAAGCCTATGGGGAGGATCTTATTGAGAGGGAAAGTTGAATATATAAAAGAGAAAAGAAGTAATTGTTTTGAAGTTTCCTTAGAAAGTGGAAAGTAAGAGGGTTCAAAGCATAAGTAGAAGAATTATATTTAAAGAGGAGGAATAATCTTTAATTGTAACAGGATGGAAAAAAGAGAATGGATATAGATGATAGTAGGTTTATGAGTTTGGAATCAGGAATCAGGAGTGTTCCTGCCTGCATCCTCCTAATGTCTTTGTAATGGCGAACAAGCTCACCTGATGTTTGTTAAGGAAAGATGGTCCAAGGAGGAAGCTGATTCGATAAGGTCTGAGGTAGTTATGGAGAGTGGGGATATTGGTTGACCAGAGAGAGACTCAGGTATTGCTGGCAACCTATATGAAGTTGGTGATTAACCTGCCCTGTTGTGTAACTTTCTTTACCAATCCTTGGCTGCTCAGGTGTAATTAGAGAAAGTAGGTAGTTGGAGGTTGACGGTGGGGAGCAAATCCCAGAGGGGTAAAGTAGTATTAGTAAGTATTATTGAAGTAATACACTTTGAAATGTAAGGAAATAGTAAGTAAAAAAAAAGGTGTGTGTTTAAAAAAAATTTTTTTTTGGTTTTGTTTTAATAGACCCAGGATAGATAATGGTTGGGAGGTGGTAATGGCACCCTGAGGCACCCAGGGATCAATGGAAAATAAACAGCTATTATTCTAGAGGGCTAAAGGTGAAGCAGTGCCCTCTGGGGTTAGAGGGACCTAGAAGGAGAGTTCAGAGGATGGATGAAGATTTAGGTGAGTTGGTTGGTTATATGCTAACAACTCCAAAGGACACAGTGAAAAATTTGGGGAAGTGTTTGAGTACTGCACTAGAGGACAAGGAAGTACCATGATCTTTGCCTCCTACAGCTTGATCTCCAGTCTTTGCTCATGAAAAGGGCTTTCTCGGTAGGAAAGTGGTCACCACTAGCTAACCCTTGCTCTGCTTCTGTCCCCACTTCACGGCTCAGGTGTAACGGAGACCAAGCTGCAGTCACTAACCTATGGAAGACCCCTAGGCTGCACTATATTCCCTGGAGCTGCTGGAATCCAGCTCCAGGAGATCAGTTGGGGCAAACAGGTGAAATCCTCCTTCACTGTCCTCTCTCCAACTCATCAAGTCCCCTTCTGGTGGGGGGTACTTGGATGCACATATGTTCTTAAAATTCATCTAAATCAAACATAGCAATCTAGTGAGGAAGAGAAGTCACTGCCAAAGGCCACAGATGTTTCCCAAAGTCACTTAGAAATAACAAGTGGCTTATCTCATTTGTAGATTATTTACACTATTAATCTTCCACTGGCACAAAACATCAAGGAGTCAGTAATATTTAAAGTAGAGCCATGCATAACTTCATTGTTTGTCTTTCATTTTGTTTAATATTTTACAAAAGAGCAAAAACAAAAAACCAGGCGTAGGACCGAGAAGCAAAGTCATTTGTGATCCCAGTGTTAGCATTACGACCTTTTACTCTGCTCTCCAAGGAAACTGGAATCCAGGAAAGTGCCTTTACTACCTGATTCCTGGATGCATTGGAATGATGGCTCAACATCCAAAGAACAAATAATCCAGTCAAGAAATGGACAGAAGACATGAACAGATATTTCTCCAAAGAAGACATACAAATGGCCAATAGACACATGAAAAATGCTCCACATCACTTGGCATCAGGGAAATACAAATCAAGAGCACAATGAGATACTACCTCACATCAGTCAGAATGGCTAAAATTAACAAGTAAGGAAATGATGGATGTTGGTAAGGATGCGGAGAAAGGGGAACTCTCTTACACTGTTGGTGGGAATACAAACTGATGCAGCCACTCTGGAAAACAGTATAGAGGTTCCTCAAAAAGTTAGAAATACAGCTACCCTATGACCCAGCAATCACACTACTGGTTATTTACCCAAAGATACAAATGTAGTGATCTGAAGGGGCACCTGCACCCCAATGTTTATAGCAGCAATGTCCATAACAGCCAAACTATGGAAAGAACCCAGATGTCCATTGACAGATGAATGGATAAAGATGATGTGGTTTATATACAATGGAATATTACTTAGCCATCAGAAAGAATAAAATGCTGCCATTTCAATGACATGTTTGGAACTAGAGGATATTATGCTAAGTGAAATAGAGAAAGACAATGATCATCTGATCTCATTCACATGTGGAATTTAAGAAACAAAATGGGATCATAAGGGAAGAGAGGAAAAAATAAACAAGATGAAATCATAGAGGGGGACTAATCATAAGAGACGACTTAATCATAGGAAACAAACTGAGGGTCGCTGGAGGGGAAGGGGTTACTGGGTGATGGGCATTAAGGAGGGCATATGATGTAATGAGCACTGGGTGTTATATAAGACTGGTGGATCACTGACCTCTACCTCTGAAACTAGTAATACATTATATGTTAATTAAATTAAATAATAATAATAATAATAATAATAATAAAAAGAATGATGGTCAGTGGTTGAGGACTGACTCAGGGTCAATGGGGCACGGCCACTGTCTCCTCACAGTCCTCCCTTCTGTAGCCTATGATCTGCAGCCTATCATCTCCTTAAGGAGAGGTTAGACCTGTGTGATGGGAAGACAGTAGCGGCTAAGGAGATGGGACCCCAGCTGTACAAACAATTCTCAGAAATTCCTTCCTGCTGTATCCCTGGGATAATTGATACATACAATTTGAGGATGTCACACATAGGGTCCCAGAGAAATGGGGGACAGGTGCCTTTGCTGTTTTGGCTGTCACTCCTTGTTTTACAACTTCCCTCACAAAAGTCTGATTAGGCAGCAGACATTACCTGGGAATCATTCCAAAGGTCTCTATTGCAAATATAGTTGTCAGGTTACAAAAACTGCAAATGAGAAAAATAATATTAAAGATTAAATTAAGTTCAACATATTAAAAGACTCCCTCCAAATCTTAATGGTAATGATCTATCATTAATCAAGATAATCTTAATGAAGATGTCAGTTTCTCAATAATGGAGAGAATAGTGACATCATAGCTGTGGTGATTTTTCCATACGTGTGGCTTGGGCAGCTTGCTGCACGATTTCTGAGTTTGTCAGTGTAAACTCACTGCTCTTCTAATATCTTCACATCGTTTTGATAGTGGGTCCCAAGGGGACAGCAATAATAATAATAATAATAATAATAATAATAATAATAATAATAATGTTTTACTGAGCATTAGTACTTATTGAAAATGAATACTAACTGAGCATTTGCTGTGTACCAGGCAGCGTACCAAATGCTCTACATGAATTATCTGCTTAATCCTCATAGCAACCCTTTCTTTTGGATGAAGAAACAGAGGCTCAGGTAGATTAACGTACTTGCAAAAGTTTGCACAGTTGTTAGTAGCAGAGCTGGGATTTGAATTTAGCTTGTTCTAATCAAAGAGCCTGTGACGTTTACCTGATATAGGCTGACTCAGGAAGCTAAGAGTGTTGGGAACTTGATATAGGGCACCGTGTATTATTTCTAAAGTTACTGAGTATCTTTCATGATTTAGCAGATTGGTTGGGATGAGACAAGACAGAGCTAAATAAACATTAATGATAACATTTCGCCTATTTTCATGTGGAGGAGAGAGAAGAAAGAAATTTAACTTGATTGAGCAAAATTAGGGATTTTTACCTGGGTACTTTAATTTAATTCTCAGAATATTACGAGATAAGTTTTATAGACTCATTTTATAAATAAAGAAAGAAGCTCAGAGACTAGGCAAGTTGCTTATGATGGCATATCTGCCAATGGCAAAATTAGGATTCAAACCAAAGTAGACTCTAGAACAATGCCTTCAAGGTCCATCCATGTTGTAGCAAACGACAAGATTTCCTTCTTTTTATGGCTGAATAATATTCCATTATATATGTAGATATAATGGAATCTGTCTCACATCTTCCATTCATCATTGATGGACACATACATCGTTTCCATATCTTGGCTGCCATAAATAATGCTGCAATGAGCATGAGGATGCATCTTTTCAAGTTAGTGTTTTCATTTTCTTATCTAGGGGAGGAATTGCTGGATCATATGGTATTCTATTTTTGAAGAAACTCCATAGTGATTTCCATAGTGGCTGTGCCAATTTACATTCCCACCGAGAGTGCACAGGATTCTCTTTTTTCCACATCTTTGCCAATACTTGTTATCTCTTGTCTTTTTGAGAATAGCCATTCTAACTGGTATGAGGTAATATCTTACTGATAATACCTTAGCTTTTGATTTGCATTTCCCTGATGGTTAGTGATGTTGAGTACCTTTTCATATGCCTGTTGGCCATCTGTATGTCTTAGAAAAAGGTCTATTCAGATCTTCGCCTATTTTATAACTGGATTATTTGTTTTTGTATTGTATTGTAGGAGTTCTTTGTATATTTGGTATAATAACCCCTTTTTGGATGTGTGATTTCCATAGGTTGACTTTTCTTTTTGTTGATGGTTTCCTTTGCTGTACAGTAGTTTTTTTTTATATATACAAAAGCTTTTTCATTTATTTAGCTTATTTTCATTTTTGTTGCCTTTGCTTTTGGTGTCAAGTCCAAAAAATCATGGCTAAGACTGAAGTCAAAGGGCTTACTCCCTATGTTTTCTTCCAAGAGTTTTATGGTATAAGGTCTTACATTCAAGTCTTTAATCCATTTTATTTTATTTTTTTTAAATTTTTTTATTTATTTATGATAGTCACAGAGAGAGAGAGAGAGAGAGAGAGAGAGAGAGGCAGAGACACAGGCAGAGAGAGAAGCAGGCTCCATGCACCGGGAGCCCGACGTGGGATTCGATCCCGGGTCTCCAGGATCATGCCCTGGGCCAAAGGCAGGCGCCAAACCGCTGCGCCACCCAGGGATCCCTTTAATCCATTTTAAGTTAATTTTTGTGTATGGTGTGAGACAGTGGTCTAGTTTCATTCTTTTACATGTGGCTTTCCAGTTTCCCCTACACCACTCATCGAAGAGACTGTCCTTTCCCTGCTATATATGTATTCTTGTCTCCTTTGTAATGAATAGATACATAAGAATGTTTATTTCTGGGCTTTCTATTCTGTTCCATTGATGTATGTGTCAGTTTTTCTGCCAGTACCATACTGTTTTGATTACTATAGCTTTGTAGTATAATTTGAAATCAAGTAGTGTGATGCCTCTCCTTGTGTTCTCTCTCAAGATGGTTTTGGCTGTTTCGGGTTTTTAAATTTTTATTTATTTATTTTTTTAAATTTTTATTTACTTATGATAGTCACAGAAAGAGAGAGAGAGAGAGAGAGGCAGAGACACAGGCAGAGGGAGAAGCAGGCTCCATGCACCGGGAGCCTGATGTGGGATTCGATTCCGGGTCTCCAGGATCACGCCCTAGGCCAAATGCAGGCGCCAAACCGCTGCGCCACCCAGGGATCCCCTGTTTCGGTTTTTATTTTGTCTTCCATACAAATTTTAAGATTGTTCTAGTTCTGTGAAGATTGCCATTGCAATTTTGATAGGGATTGCATTGAGTCTGTATTGTAGATTGCTTTGGGTAGTATGGACATTTTAACAATATTTGTTCTTCTAATCCATGAGCATGAAATATCTTTCCATTCATTAGTGTCTTCTACAATTTCTTTTATCATGTCTAGGTCTTTATTTGTCTAGGTTTCTCATCTCCTTGGTTAAATTTATACCCAAGCATTTTATTCTTTTTGCTGTAGTCATAGATGAGGCTGTTGATGAGAACAGGTCTTTTTGTGGAGTCTTTAGTGTTTTCCGAATATAATGCCGTATCATCTGCAAATAGTGAAAATTTTGTTCCTTCCTTTCTGATTTGTATGCTTAAAACATTTTTTTTTCTTGCCTAATTGTTTTGGATAGGACTTCCAATTCTATGTGGAATAAAAATAAAAGGGGGCATTTTTGTTTCTCATCTTTGTTCCTGATCTTAGAGGAAAGGCTTTCACCTTTTTATCATTGAGTATGATGTTAGCTGTGGACTTGTCATGTATAGCTTTTATTATGTTGAGGTATGTTCCCTCTACACTCACTTTGTTGAGAGTTTTTATAATAAATGAATGTTGAATTTTGTCAAAAGCTTTTTATATCTATTGAGATGATCATATGTTTTTTTAAAATTTTATTTATTTATTCATGAGAGACACAGAAAGAGAGGCAGAGACATTTCTCAGAGAGGCACAGGGAGAAGCTCCATGCAGGGAGCCTGATGCAGAGCTTGATCCCAGGTACCCCAATCATATGATTTTTATCCTTTGTTTTATTAAGGTGGCATATCACAGTGATTAAATTGCAGATGCTGAATCATCCTTGTATCCCTAGAATAAATCCCACTTGATTATAGCATATGATCCTTTTTAATGCATTGTTGAATTTGGTTTGCTAATATTTCATTGAGGATTTTTATATCTATGGTCATCAAGGATATTGACCTGTAATTTTCTTTTCTTGTGGTATCCTTGTCTGGCTTTTGTATTAGTAATGTTGGCCTCATAGAATAAGTTTATAAATATTCCTTCCTCTTGTATTTTTGGAAGGGTTTGAGGACATTGTTCTTTAAATGTTTGGTAAAATTTACCAGTGAAGCCATCCTGTCTTGGACTTTTGTTTGTTGAGAGGTTTTATTTATTTATTTATTTATTTATTTATTTATTTATTTTCTTACTGATTTGCTCTCCTTACTAGTAATCAGTCTGATCAAGTTTTCCTTTTTTTTTTTTTTTATGATTCAGTCTTGGTAGGTTGTATGTTTCTAAGAATTTACCCATTCTTTTTAGGTTGTCTAATTTATTGGTATATAGTTGCTCATAGTAGTCTTTTATCCTATATATTCTTTTGGTATCAGTTGTAACTTCTCTTTATTTTCTGATTTTGAGTCCTCTCTCTTTTTTTCTTATTAGGGCTACCTAAAATTTTTTCTATTTTATCTTTTCAAAAACCAACTCTTAGTTTCATTGATCTTTCCTATTTTTAGTCTCTATTCAAATTTATTTCCTCTCTGATCTTTGTTATTTCCTTCCTTTTACTAACTCTGGCTTTGTTTGTTCTTTTTCTAGTTCTATGAAGAGTTGTTCATAGTCATTCATCTTTGTTCCTGATCTTAGAGGGAAGGTTTTCAGCCTTGCTAGTTCAAAGTTGAGTTGTTTGAGATATTTCTTCTTTCTTGAGATAAAGGATTTCCTTCTTCTTTATGACTGAATAATACTCCATTGTATACTTATATATACACCACCTTTTCTTTATCATTTATTCATTAGTGGACACTAAGGTTGCTTCCATGTCTTGGCTATTGTAATAATGCTGTGATGAACATGGGGATGCAGATATTTTTTTGAGTTGGTCAACCTCTTCTAGTAATGGTGACCCCAGATTCTATGGCATTTTAATTTTTCCTACTAGGCATTTTCTTCCCTCTTGCCTTATGTAATGTTGCCATGTTTTAGTGTAATACATTTTTTGGACTTTGTAGAGTAGAGCAGAAATTTCATTTGATCTCATCATTATCCCTTTAAATAAATGTCAAAACTATAACAATAAAATATTTATATTCACCTATAGTTTGGATCCAGGATCTTCACACGAAACACATACATTCCAGAATGGTCCTCGGGCCAAACTAAATGGTTATAGTTAGACTTGTTGATTATCTCATATGGTTGATTTAAGTCTCCTGGTTTTCCAATAGCATAAGAGAAACAGTGCTTATAGTTCTGAATGGGAAACAAAGACAAAAACCTTGAGGTCCTTCTGTAGGGGAAGAGGTGTTGGAGATTGTAGAGAGGAAAAGGTATGCAATACCTAGAAAGGAAAAGGGAATGAACTGGAGAAATACTTTATGTTTGTTGGGCAGTATTACAGAACTGTTTTAATCATGAAATCAAGGTGAAATAAATCAATATTCCTCTGACCACAGTCAGCTGCCAAGGCAGATAGTTGAGATTTAACTAGGGCTGTGACTTAGCCACACAAGTCTGAAGAACTGAGATGGAGGAAGGAATTGAGGGTACACATTAATAGAGTGATATAATTATTGACCATGGAATTTCAGCTGCATAAAAAGTAAGGAGAGAACCTGGGGCTGGGCGAGATGGGCGGGGTCATTTTGAAGGATTGTTGAAAGGATTGTTAGAGTCAAGGTTCTAGGGTTATGTTGCCAGAAGGATAGGGAGTGGTGGATGGAAAGTGGGATGTTTGGAGCTAGGACTACAGAGGATAGTACAGTTGTATGTATCTCTGTCTTGACATGCACAGATTCTGATGAAGAAGCAAAGTAACATTCCTATTGTAGGGTTTAGATTTTATAGGCTAGGTATCATAGAGGTCACTTTTATTTATGAGATATTATTATGAGATACTGATTCTCCAAATAACATAAATTAATTTCAATTCAAGAAAGTTTGATTGAAAAAAATTGAAAGCAGTATAGGAATAATAGCTGGCATTCATAAATGATCTTTCAGTTGTATAAGAATTGAAAGTTCGGGTGTTTACTTTAGAGTCAGTGCTTCAATATGTTTGTCAGATATTTAGTAAATCTGTAAACACAGATTTTCAACAGAAAAAGATTAATACAAAATTGTTAGTAACACAGGAGCACTGGAAACTCAAACAGAAAGTAAGGTGATGCATTTTTGAAATTACGGTATTAATCCAATAGAAAAGTTGGATTTGATTTGCAAAAACAAACAAATTAAATCCAAAATGCTTCCATCAAACTTTTATTAATGCTGAAATGCCAAATTAGTTATTGTAAATAAGATTTGCTAGGTAATGTTTTCCTTACCTCAGGTCCCCAGGCTTCTTCTAGTGGGAGGTGCTTGTTAAGCTCAGTCATTGACTTCCACGTCTGGGCTTCATTTAAACAGCCACTCTGCCAAAAAAAATTGTACAAATAGGAATATAAGAAACAAACGATCAAAGGAAAAAAAAAAAAGAGAGACAAACCAAGAAACAAATTCTGTAGAGAGCTGTAGAGAACAAACTGGTGGTTGCCAGAAAGGAGGTGGGTGGGGGATGGGTGAAACAAGTGATGGGGATTAAGGAGTGCACCTGTTGTGATGAGCACTAGCTGTTGTATGGAAGTGTTGAATTACTATATTGTATACCCAAAACTAACATTACACTGTATGTTAACTAATTGGAGTTAACAAAAATGTAATAAAAAATTGCACACACATTTAAGCATATAAATTTATTCCTAAGTATTTATTTAATGTCATTGAAAAATATATATTTCTTTTCATTATTAAATGTTTGCTGATATACAGGGGATATATTGTATATTGACCTTGTATGAAAAGAATTTCTTAAACTCACTTATTAATTTTAAGTGTTTCACATGAGGTCATGTTATTTGTGAATATAGCAGTCTTATTGCTTCCTTTCCAATTCTTATACTTTTAACTGTTTATTGTTTGCTTATTACAGGGATCAGAAACAATGTTGTAACAAAAGTGGTGATAGCTGGCACCCTTGTTTTACTCCTGACTTCAGAGAGAAAGCTTTCAAATTTTCACTATTAATTAAGATACTTTATAAGGGTTTTTTTTTTTTTTTGTACTTACATACTATTAGGTCAAGGAAGTTACCATATACTTATAATTTTCTAAGAGTTATTTTTGGTGTTATTCTCTTTCTTTCTCTCTCTCTCTCTCTCTCTCTCTCGTAGGCTCCATGCCCAATGTTGGGCTTAAACTCAAGACCCTGAGAATTATTTTAAAAGTAATATTATGTATAAATAATTTTTAGTAGAATGACTTTTCAACTACTATAATAATCCATGCCTATTCTTCTTTATTCTGTTAGTATAGTGGATTTTTTAAACTTTCAAATGATATTCCAACTCTTCATTTATGAAATAAAACTTGTCTGGATGTGTGATTTTTAAATATATTGCTGAGTTTGATTTGCTAGTGTTTTGGTTAGGTGCTTTGAATCTGTGGTCATAGGTGAGATTAGCTCATAATTTCCTTTTCTTTTAAGGTCCTCATCAGGTCCTCCTAGATTCACAGAATGAGTTGGAAAGTGCTCTTCCTACCCAAATACTCTGGAAGAATTTTTAGAAAGCTGAAGGAAAATTTTCCTTAAATGTTTGGTGGATGGGAAAGCCATCTGAGAGTAGAGATGTCTATTTCTTTCTTAGAATATAAGAAACTTTGGAAAAAAAAGAAGAATGTAAGAAACTTTGGTAAATTCTTTTTTTTCGAGGCATTTGTCTATTTTATCCGTTTCTTCATTGTCAAATTTGTTAAATCTGTTTATAGTATACAGATTATTTGGGTTTAAAATGGTAATATTCTAATTCTATCTCTTTTTTTCTTCATTTGTCAACTAGAAACGTAAAGAGATGCCTCCCCTTTTCTACAATTTGGTTACCCTCTGGTATAGTTCATTTGAGGATAAATATTGGTGACTTTCTCTTTATTTGACAGTTTTAAAAATAAAGAGTTGATTTCCTATCATTTTCCAAAGGTGATCTTTTTGAAAAAATCATTATAAACTCATAGGTTTAACATATTTAATGAATTTTAGCAATATTGCAATAACTACCCTTAAGAAAGCTCATCTTAATTGTTCCATCTTTGGCCAACCTCTTCATGTTAACTTCTGATTACTTTTGACAAGGCCCTAGTAGTCTTTGATACTTCCTTGCTATTGGATATGTCAAAGTATTCCAAACTCATTGTGTACATTTCCTCTCCCAGGCTTGGAATCAGCTATCTGTTTAAGAATCCCCAGTTATTTTTAGCCGGAAATGATATTTCAAGACAACGATCTGGGAACTGAGGACACTTACTGCTATTGATTAGTTATGTTTCTAGGGATTTTAATGGATAGTGTAGGAAAATTTGTCTCTATCTCTCTGAACAATATACTTATGTATTTACATCCAGATCACATAAGTTTCCAATACCTCATGAGTTTACATTGAGTCCTAATCAAATTCAGGATGTTTTGTCTAACTTCTTCTATATTTCATGCATATCTCCCTGCTTTTATGCCAAAAACATTTGGTGAAGAGTGATAGTATTAGAATATCTCACATTACATACCTTACAAGATCAGAATAACTAATACAAATACTACTCCCACTATTGTGATTACTGAAAAACAGTTATATTTCCCCCAGGTATACACTCTCATATTCTTATATTCTCCTAGCATATTTTATAGCTGTATTATATCTATACTGTCAGAGAATACATCTACTATATATTATCCTCTTTCCCTTTCCATCCTCACTTTGCTTCAGTTTTGTAACTCTATACTCCATTATGCTACCATTATGCTACCTCTGGTTCTTATGTTGATATCTCTTTAGTGATTTTGGTGGTTTGAAGGTTATTATTTAGCCTTGGGCTCATGGGAACAATATCATCTGAGCTTTTACATATTAATAGCAGTTTGTGCCTTTTCTAGAGTCATTGGTTTTGCTGAATATAAAATCCTTAGCTTATGGTTATTTTCCTTTAGTATCAAACATTTTACTCCATCTTTTCCTGGCATAAAGCATTGCTATAAAAATTAGAGTTTTATTTTCTTTATATGTAAGTTACTTCCTTTTTTTTTTTTTTTTTTTTTTTTGCCTACATGGCCACTTGGGTTGGCTGTTCAGATCTGATATTCTTGATTATCTGCTATGCTCTTTCAATATGAAGCTTCAAGCCTTTTTTTACTTAGAGCAGGTAGAGATGTTTTCTTGAATATAAGCAATGGTTTGGTTCCTTTGTTCTGGTTTTCTTTTTCAGGGCATCCATTTACTTATGTATTGGATCTTCTTTGGCTGTCTTCAGTATTTGCCACTTTCTCTTGAATCTTTTTTATCTCATTGTTTCTTTTAACTTTAAAATTTTTCCTCTTCTAATTTCATATGTCTTTTAGAGCATTATCTGTTGTTCATTTTCATCTTTATTGTTTTTTTTGAAATTCGATTTGCCAACATATAGTATAACACCCAGTGCTCATTCCATTGAGTGCCCTCCTCAATGCCCGTCACTCAGTTACCCCATCCTCCCACCCACCTCCCCTTCTGCAACCCTTTGTTTCCCAGAGTTAGGAGTCTCTCATGGTTTGTCTCCCTCTCTAATTTTTCCCACTCATTTTCCCTCCTTTCCCTTATAATCCCTTTCACTATTTCTTATATTCCCCATATGAGTAAAACCATATGATGATTGTCCTTCTCCAATTGACTTACTTCACTCAGCATAATACCCTCCAGTTCCATCCACGTCAAAGCAAATGGTGGGTATTCGTCCTTTCTGATGGCTGAGTAATATTCCATTGTATATATACACCACAGCTTCTTTATCCAGTCATCTGTCGAAGGACATTGAGGCTCCTTTCACAGTTTGGCTATTGTGGACATTGCTGCTATGAACATTGGGATGCAGGTGTCCCGGCGTTTCGCTACATCTGGATCTTTGGGGTAAATCCCCAGCAGTGCAATTGTTGGGTCATAGGGTAGCTCTATTTTTAACTCTTTGATGAAACTCCTCACTGTTTTCCAGAGTGGCTGTACCAGTTCACATTCTCACCAACAGTGCAAGAGGCTTCCCCTTTCTCCGCATCCTCTCCAACATTTGTGGTTTCCTGCCTTGTTAATTTTCCCCATTCTCACTGGTGTGAGGTAGTATCTCATTGTGGTTTTGATTTGTATTTCCCAGATGGCAAGTGATGCAGAGCATTTTCTCATGTGCTTGTTGGCCATGTCTATGTCTTCTTTGGTGAAATTTCTGTTCATGTCTTCTGCCCATTTCATGATTGGATTTTTTTGTTTCTTGGGTGTTTCATTTTCATCTTTAAAAGGCTATTTTAAAAAAAGGCTATTTTCATTGCATATAGAATTTTAGATTTGGGATTTCTTTTCTTTCAGTAATTTATTTTTGTGCAGGGGCACCTGGGTAGTTCAGTGGGTTAAGCATCTGACTTTTGATTTTGGTTCAGGTCATGATCTCAGGGTCATGAGATCATAGCCCTGTGTTGGGTTCCATGCTGGGTATTGAGACTGCTTCAGATTCTCTCTCTCACTCTCCATCTGCCCTTCCCCACTAAAAAAAGGGGGGAGGAAAAGAAAAAAAAATTTTGTTCAAAGTTTTCTGGTTTGCATTATTTCTATAGAGAAACCAGCTTTAAGTCTTATAGCTACTCTTTTGAGGGTAACTTCTTTTTTTTTTTTTTTTGGCCACTTTTAAGGTTTTTCTTTTTAGAAATTTTACTGTAGTGTTTCTGGATCCAGGTTACTTTTTCTGTGCCTTGATGTCTTTTATCTTTTGGGAAAATATTGCTTCTGACCAATACTCTCTCCCCTTTCTTTTTAGGACTCCAGTCCTTAGATGTAGGCAGTGAATCTCCATTATGTTCTTGTCTATATTTTCAATCAGTTTATCTCCCTATGCATAATTCTGGGCATTTCCTTCTGACCCCTCTTCCAGTTGACTAATTCTATTTTAAGTCATCACTCCCAATAGTTGAGCTCCTAATTCCAGTTATTGCAGTTTTGATTTGTTTTTTTCTAGAAGTGATTGGCAGCTCAGACAGAGGCATGGATAAGGCAGGATGATTTGATGCTTAAAGTTGCCATTTGGTGCATAGGAGCAACACCAGGGAAGGTGACTTGCAGGTGATGGCAAGATGGTAGCTGGAGGGCTGACCCAGGGAGCTAAAGTTAGACAGGAAAAGGAGAGAGAAGATGGGCTGGCAGGGAGGGAAAGAGCAAAGGGCTCAATGTTGAGGATGTCTAGACAGTGTGAGGAAAAAGGGAGAGCTAGAGAATGGGAGGTTGAAGTCAGAGACCGGAGTGTTTGAATTTAAATGTAATTATAACAGGGGGCACTGCATTGATCAAGGCAGCCTCTGCTATGCTGCGGTAAACCCCACCCCTCAGGGCCTTAACACATTGCAGTTGAATTCCTGATCACACATAGTCCAGTGAAGATGGCCCTGCTGAGATGGCTCTTATGGATGACTCTCCTCAGAACAGTGGATTTGGCTTTTCTGTCTAATAGCTCCTTGAAGAGTCCCCTGACTGGACACTTCTCATCCAGCTTGCATCTACGCCATCTCTGATTGTTGCTGGGATAGACTGACTCTGGAGGAAGACAGGAAGCATGGGGTTCATATGATCCCTTCTTCAGCACTTAATCCTGGAAGGGACACATATCGTTTCTGCTCATTCTCTGGCATGAGAGCCAGTCACATGGCCCCACCTAGATGCAAACAGGGCTGGGAAATGTCATCCCTGTGTAGAAAGCTTCTTAGCAATAGCCCTACTTGATGGCTTCAGAACTGAGGAGTCAACTGTAATTGCTTTCAGGGCAGGAGGAGAACTCATCAAGTTCTCAGTATGACAGCAGTAGGTAGGGTTGAGGTACATGACACCTGGATGACAGGGGCTGCAAACAAATGACACTGTGATTAGGGTGAGGAGATAGTAGTCTGGAGATGATACTGTGGGTTAGGGAGCACTTCAATTCCACAGCTCATCCCTACATACACGGGGTGAGAGAAAGAGTACCCTTGATTTGAGAGAAAAACAGAGAACATTATATTCTCTTTGGAATGTCTGCTGAATAAGGGTCTAGGATCATTTAACCCTAGAGTATATTAGAAAAGTTTGAGAAAATGGGGAGTAATGGGAATCTGGGCCCAGGTGTGAGAAGGATTGAGACTATGAAGAGAGAGTAGACTGGAAGGACTCACACTCTGGATGTGACCTTTGGGTGTGACTGGACAAGTGTACGAGGAATGTGGTGGGGTGGATTTGTTTGACCACCCGATTGAAAGACAGTTAGTTCTTGCACATTCTGGAGAGGGTATCTGGTGGAACTTACTGCCTCTTGGCTGCTATCAGAGTGGGTTCTCCTTGGAGAATTAAGGTCTCTGATAGATGAGAAAATTCCTTTGGAAGGAGTTATATCTAACTTTATTTAAGCATGAGATTTCTGGGGAAAAGCAGGAATCAATGCTGGTAACTTTGGAGAAGCTCTGCCAAGATGGAAGGCCCTTAGGCCAGAACACCACACATGGGAATGAAATCTGGTGGCTGGGAGTGGTAGGGCTTTTCTGCCAAAGTGGAAAGAGTTGTCAGTGAGGAGGCCGAGATCAACCGGTCAGAGGATGGAGGGAGACCAGGCGAGTGTGGGGACAGTGAAGCCAAGGTCAGTGGGTCAAATGATGCAAGGAAGTCAAATGAGATGAAGCCTAGAGAGTGTGCTTTTAATGTAGCACAAGTGTGATGAATGTGGAAGCTAGAGGAAGATCTATAAATAATCAAACACTGAATACACTGTGGAGAAAAAGGAAAATGTTCACCTATAATTGCGTCACCCTACTATAAACATTATTTTATTTTTCTGACCCCTTTAAGTCTGTTTTATATGACCAAGGCTTCTTTTGTTGTAAATGAATTTCAGTAGTCACAAAATTTAATACACAGGGCATGTTTTTTTTTCCTACCCACATGTAACTGGTTCTATTTTCCTCAGATAATTCACATATAGATTTAAAATAGAACAGCAGGTCTAATTGCATACTAAGTTCTATTTCGATTCAAAGACGCCATACCTTCTTCATAGTATTATTAAAGCTGTAGTCATTCCTGCCATGTATCTCCCACACAATGAAATTGACTTCTACATCTTCAACATAGCCATTGTTGTCGTATCTGAAGGAGACAGCAAACACAACAACAGTAGTTTAGAGTAGAAGAGAGAGGGTAAGAGCTGTAGCCCTCCAGTCTGGTGGGCTTCTCTGAACAGCACTGCCACCTGGTGAAGTGACTTAATGTTCTTGAAGCCTTGATATTGTCACTTACCTGTGAAATAACAACAGTACCTATTGTATAGGTTTCCTTCAGCTCTCAAAATCAACCTCATAGTAATAAAGCAGGAAATGTTCACCTTTTTAATAGTGGGAACCTCAAGTGCTCTTCACTTTGACAGGAACCACATATTGACAAGGTGAGGGTAGCAGAGGCCCTGCTTTGTCACCTGGTAGCAGGGAGAAAGAATTGAGGGGGAGGAAGGGCACAGCAAGGGTCCCCTGGTGTCATTTAATCAACAAATATTCATTGGGTGACTATTGTGTGCCAGGGAATTAAAACACAACATCATTGTGATGAGAATGGAGATGTTCCAGAACTCCCGGAGGATCCTGCTGGAAGATGGGAATGAGTGTCAGGGGATTGGCAGCAGCAGTGAGAGCTGAGGTGGGGCTGGAGAAGCATAAGTGGTCACCAACTCCCAGGAACCACAGTCATGAACAGCTCATGCCCAGAGAACTTGTGATGACTTTCACCCACGGCAGACCTCAGCATACAGTCCTGCATGGACAGGGTGCCCAATCCCTGGATGCTAGCATGGGAGACAGAAATCCCATTGAGCTTATTCACCCCAAAGTCAGTGAGTTTCAAAAGAGATGCTACTTAATTGTTAAGATCATTTTCTTTTCTTGCTACCATATGAAAATAGAGGCTTGAGACCAAAGCTAAAATTCAGTGGCAAAGTTACACCTGTGCATAGCAGCACCTGCAATTGTTTTAAACATGGTCACATCTTCCTTCTCTGTCACTGCCAGTTTTTTTGGATGGGATTGTGTCCCCCCCCCCCCCACCATAGATGGAAATCTCACTTAGGACTTCGGTGTCAGGCACTTGCTCCTGGGCTCTGACTCTTGGGCTGTTACCCCAGGGTCTGATACATTCTCTTGCTTCGCATCTCTGAGTCTATCTGTAAGATCAGGGGTCCTTACCCACTGCCCACGTCTCTGCCTGACCTCAGAGTCCCTCCCCCTGGCTCTCCACGTCTGCTATAACTTGGGACTGACCATCCATTCCTGCTGATAAAAACCAGCTCTTGCCTCATTCACAAACTGGGCAGGAAATTTGTACACATCAGAAAGTGGTATCTGAGAAGGTATTTTATTTTCATCTTAATTCATTTTTAGAAATCATAAAGACATGAACTCAGGTGTGAGTAACTAGGGATTAGAATTGCAGTAGTCCACTTTCTAAATGGCTCAGGAGGAGGGTCAGAGGAAACTCTAAACTCTAATTAAAATTCTTCCCACAGGAAAATGTACACACATGTGTGACACACTCAATTTTGTATGCACTTTTGGAGCTTTGGGCCAGGCTTTAGGAAAGTTTTCATTCTAGGAACTTTGGAAGGTGCACCATCTTCTGAACGCCATCAGAGTCTTGAATTATTAAGAACTAGTTGTAAAGCCATATGTTTTATTTAAATTTAAAAAAGATCTTCCTTGAACTAGGAGCTGACTTTGGGTGACACTCACAAAAGCAATAAGCTATAGTGTCATCTAGTGGCAATAAGGATAAATTACATGACCCATACTTCCTGGGTTTATAATGACGTTTGATGCTGCTTTTATTTATTTCATCGAGAATACAGACAAAAATACTTGCCTGTGTAAGCATGGCTTATTTTCATTAATGTTAACAGGATGTGATACCAATAAAACCTGAGAAATTCAGAAATGTCACCAGCTGGCACCTAGCTTCCCTATAATTTGTAACTTCTCCATTGTGACAGTTCCACTGTTAATCCGTTGGACACACATGTTTTCAGTCCTGTGTGACCACTCAGCTAGCCCATGGTATCAGCCATGTCTCTTACTTTGTTTGGTGATGCTTTAGTTGCTGAGTTAATTGTCCCAGGAAAATTGGAAGCAATGTGGTTCATTGAATGAATTCTGGTAGCAGAGACATAGTAAGTTACCCTGAGAAGAGGACATGCTGCCATGTGGCTCAAACTAGTGCTGCAACTGGCCCCTCTGACCCCTACCCACCTCCTGCACCACCACAGCCTCTCACCTGCCCCTTGACCTCACCACACATTGGGCCCTGACTCTCTCTGCTTTCCTCCTATAGGCGGTTCCCTCCTTGCCCAACATCCTGGATTCACCCAGGTGCTCTCACCGGCCTCCAGCATCTCACCCCAACCCTGGATGTCACATGATGCCTCTACATTTGCGCATATAGTACCTGAGAAGCTCAAATATGTTGCATTGGACCCGCTTGTGGTGTCTTAAGTTGATTGAGCCTTTGGTGTTGCCTGATAATCCTTGCAAGGGTCCTTAGCCAGCCCTTCTCATGTTGCCCTCAGTGAGCCCTTGACCCCCTCCTCAAACACTGTGCTTCCAGTGTAGATGTGGCCCTTTCTGCTTCATGTAAGTACATGGAGGCTGTCAGATACGACTGCTTTCAACTCCTATACTCCTGTTTCCAAACCAGTCACTTCCTACATTTAGTTTTACTCTCCTCTAAGTCCCCCCTACTCCCCCCATCCCAAGTCTCAGAGGATGAACTCTTCTTTTGTTAACATTGCCACCTGGACCTTTGATCCTACTTCTCTAGTTTTCTTCACCTGGCTCCTATAGCTTATTTTATTTTAATTAGGAAATATTTCAAATATGCAGAAAAAAACAGGGAATAATGTGAAATTGTTATATATCCTTTCCACCCAGGTTTTATACTTTACTTATCCATAAATCATATATAGTATTGCTTTATGAGTTTTCAAATATACATACATGATATTATACTGTAAGTACATTTGGCAACTTTATTTCTCCACTCAACATTTGCTTTTGAGATGGATTCTTAGAAGTGTCCAGTTTCTTGGTCTCTGTTTTCCTCATCAGCAGCTCCCTCCTGGCTATGCTTCCTTCCCTATCCAACCTGAACTTCCTGGAGGACCTCCTGATTCCTTGTTAACAAGCATTTTAACTGCTGTGCAGTATTGCATTGACTAGCTATCCAATGTATATATCCAAATTTTCACTATGTTTCATTATGTATATTTCATCACCATTAATAAAATCTATACTTAAAGACACCACAAACAAACATTTCAGCCACCTGTCTTTTTCACTTGGTTTATGGTAAGATACCATGAGGTAGCAGGAAAAGTAGAAGGGTGTAATATCCTGGAAGCCAAGTGAAGAAAATATTTCAGGTAGAAGAGAATGATCAGCTGTGTAATTCTGGTTAACGAGATCAGATAGGCTGAGTCCTGAGAACTGGCTACTGGATGTAACGATACGGAGGCCACTGGTCACACTGGCTGTCAGTGCCAGTGGAGTGGTGGCAGTAAAAGCCTGTTGGGAGGGATTGAGGAAGAGCAGGAGGAGAGTTGGTGATAGTGTGTAAGAGTGAGACGGGTAGAGGGTTTTTTCCTGTTTTGTTTTTGGTGAGAGAACTGCGGATTTCTTGACGATCCAGTAGACAAGGGAAATCTGATGATGCAGGAGAAGGAGGGGGGAGTTTCAGGAGCAAAAATTCTTAATTAGGACATTTAGCAGGTGGGGATCCAGTTCTCTCTCTCTCTCTCTCTCTCTCTCTCTCTCTCTCACACACACACACACACACAGAAGCCTTAGATATACCTACGTTCACCTATGATCATAAGACAGAGTTCGTGGGGACAGTTCAGGTGGTGAAGTTTGAGGAAGATCTCTTCTGACTGATGTCACTTGAACTCATTCATCTTCCTCATCCTCTCTTCTCATCTATCAGTTTTTCCATTATCTATCAATTATCAAGCCTTGCCTATTATAATCACTAATTTTTCTCTTAAAGGATTCCTCTCTTTTGTCTGTGCTGCTATTTCAATCATTTGGTTTCTTTCCTCCATGGACTACCAATACAGTTTACTACCTGTCTTCCTAGTTAGACTTGTTCCCCTGAAGTTCATCTGCTCACTGCTACCAGAGAGGACTAATTAAAGCAATTATTTGATCATGCCACTCTACCATAATATGGACAGAAAGTCCTCCATGACCTAGACTCCACTGAGCTAGTTTCCCACTCTTGTCCTGTCACTTCATGCCTCATTTTATGCCCCAACAGCTTTACACTGAACATTTCCCTCCTCAAACCATCATTCTTGTTTGAAAGACTTGCCCCATGGAGTTCATTGCTACCTCCCCATTTCTCCTCTTCTCTCTCTGCCTTTATCTAAATATTTATTCTCCTTTAAGACTCAGTGGCTCAAATCAAATGCAAATTTTCTGAAAATATTTCTCAAAGCCCCTCTCCCTTCTGCAGCTGGGTTGGATTCTTTTCTTTTGAGTTTCCTTTTATTATTCCATGTCAGCTCATATGTTTATCTAATTCATCAGACTCAGGATCCCTGGGTGGCGCAGCGGTTTAGCGTCTGCCTTTGGCCCAAGGCGCGATCCTGGAGACCCGGGATCGAATCCCACGTCAGGCTCCCGGTGCATGGAGCCTGCTTCTCCCTCTGCCTATGTCTCTGCCTCTCTGTCTCTCTCTGTATGACTATCATAAATAAATTTAAAAAAAAATCTAATTCATCAGACTCTTGAGCCCTTGAGAACAGAAATCCTGTTTTGTTTTTGAATTCCCAGTGCCTAGCATAGTAAAAGGTTCAAAGGTGTTTAATAATAATGAATTGAAAAGGAGAATAGACTTCTCTGGGAGGGAACATTAAGATTATTTACCCCTGGAAGATTAAGACACTACATAAAATAAAAACAAAGTAACAAGAAGCCTGGGATGATGGTGGAGTAGGAGGACTCTGAGCTCACCCCGTCCCATGTTTTCAACTTCACTAGTCCCAAGTCAATAAACAGCAATCCAAAGACTGGAGGAACAAACTAAATATAGAGAAGAAGAGATGTAGGAAA